ACTTTTCAAAGATATCAGGGAATTTAACAAAAAAAATCATAACCAGAGGCAGTTACTATAATCGACTGATTAGGCGACACTTTTTTTATTTCTTGGTTTACAGATTTCAAACTCATTTCAAATGTGAGGCAGGCCGATTTAAAAAAGCTCTCACATTTTTTTTACTTGAATTTTGTCCTCAAATGTTAGGTAGGTATGAAAAAAAATATCCTGGCGTAACAAAAGTAAAATAACTCAATTTTTCAAGAACATTTTATTATATCCCTGGCACTCAGCTTGTGCACAAATGGCAACATAACAATATTCATGTCATGGGTGGAAATGCATGAAAGACGCTGCTATTTTGGCAGCATGGGCAACGTTTAACTCTTTCAAAACCAGCCAACCAGAAGATTACTGCTGTGACACCAAGTTCTCAGAGACTCTTGTGTGATAGATGAAACCAACATTTATCAAGGAAATAATCTGCTAAAATTAACATCTTTGCTACTACATGTTTGGCCATACACTATTTGAAAGGTCTAATTAATCCTATTGTTTATAAATATGAAAGTTATGTGTATTACATTATTTAAATAATTCATTAACAATTAAATAAAGTTCGTTTTAAATAAAAAAAATGTAAGCTAAAACATTCATAACGTCCGGATTAAGAAACCAATGAAGCGCAAATTTAACGATTTTTTCGGCAAATATAACAATTAATAAAATCCACTTACCCATTTCTTTTTTATTTTCATTTGTTTACGTTGTTGGAACATTATTTTAAAAAGAATCACAAATAATATCTGTCATCACCCATTTCCAGATGATAGTGGCTGTCCCCTCACTAACATGAGGAAATACCTCCGTTTTTAAAGCTTCGTATGAATAACACATGGGTCAAAGGCTGCCATGTCAGTATACATTAAAAAAACTTATAGATTGTTTCGCCGAAAAAATCTGCTACAAGGTTCGTGATTGGTCAAATTTAAGCACGTGACCTAAGGCAGCCAATCAAATTACGGCAACGGTAATTTTCAGACTTTGGCGAAAGGTTTGGGTTAAATCATGATATTCTGAACGTTTAAGCATGAAATCGCGATCTCTATTAAAAATATGGAACTTTATGGATGCATAGAGCTAAGTAACGAGCTGTGACAAAGATTTCTTATGCATATATTTTGGCATTAAGACATCGTGTCCGAGCCGAGAAATCGAGGCAACGAAAGGCGAGATGTCATTTGACTGACGATTACATGCGATCGCACGAAAAGTTGGAAATAATAACTAAGATGTCAGTTTGGCAACGTTTATAGATATATTTTTGGAGATTTTATTTCAGCAGGTGAAACGTTTTTATTTTGCTGTTTGACAAGTTCGATGAGGACCCGTTGTCGAAGTGTGTCCGAGAATTTTATTTTCAATAACATTGCGGGAAATAGTGTCTAGTGAATACATTTTTAATCTCTAGATAAAAAAATAGATAAAAAAATGATAAAATCAAATTGAATACGTATTTCAGACATTGTGAAATGTGATAGATTTAATAAATGAATGATATGACAAGTAGGTTAATATAATTATAAACTATTTTGACGTGACTTGGACGGTCTACCGTGCGGTGTGACTTGTGGCTTTGAACGGCCAACAGTGTTGAAATAGTTAAACTGGTCACCACTGCACTTTGCGTTGACAAGCTTTGATGGTATTAGAGAAGGATCCCAGCAAGAAATATCAGAGTGACTTCCCTTTGCTTTACGCTCGCCGAGGGAATGAAATCTTTTTTTTGTTTGAACTTTTTGTCGAAAAGATCGGCGATAATAAAAAAAGGGTAATTTTCATTATTTTATTTTTTTAACATTTTGAAAGAGCGGCGCATCCGTAAACCAAGAAATAAAAAAATTGTCGCCTTAGTAATGTATCTCGATTTCATATTTAAGTTATGATATAGTATCATTGTATATTTAATATGTATGTCACAATCCCGGGAATAACAAATGGTCAGTCTATTGAACTGCTTCATACTATCGATAACTCGGCTGGACAACTTGAAGTCGCCCTATGCGATGTAACGTATTACCCGCGGTGGACCAATATAAATGCTGCAAGAGGTAATAATGAGATGTTTATATTAGGTGAAAACATTAATATTGATGACTTTCGCATAATTATACCTGATGGGTATTACAGTGTATGCTCACTCAATGATGAATTTTTTAAGCCTAATGGAAATAGTCTCACACAAAATGAGTCGAATGGGATACTGAAATTCGACTCTGGAGAAAAGGATGTACAGATTTTAACGAACTTATCAGTTACACTTGGATTTTCACGCGGAATTAACACATTCTACAAGTCATCAAATCAGGGAGATACATTACCCGATTTAGTTCCCTATAAAGAGTTGTGCATCCATCTTGATCAAATAAGCACGACGAATAATATTCAACTTGAAAGTCCTTCAACTCTGCTCAGATCTGTTCCAGTGAAAGATGAAAAATATAATAGCGGTAGAACGGAATCTTTCTCGTCATTACAGTATAAAAAAATAAAACGGGGTATTATTTCAGACCTCAAAATTTCTGTATTAGATGTAAAACACCAACCTGTACATATAGGACACTTAAGTGTAACACTCCATATTATAAATAATGGTTGATTCATCAGGCCCAGGGCGCCGTTCCACAAAGCGATCATAACTACAATCAATCTTAGAGACTTACGTCGATTCTAAAATTGTCTTAGCTAAAGATTACAACCATTCCACAAAGCGATCTTTGGGTGATTGTAACTTTACAAGTTCTTAAGTAGCCGATCTTAACAAAGATCGGAATCTTCAGCCATAAAGATACGAAATTTTCCCTTGGAGTGGCCTCCCGTGGTCATGTTTAGCAGACGACGCATTTCCTTGCACACCATAATAAAAGTCGCCATTTTTGTTGTTATGGTACAATATTTAAGATCGATTTTAGCAATCCTAAGTTGGTCTGGGGCAACTTAGCATTTTGATCTTAACTTACAACTCTCTTAGTTAAGATTGCTTTGTGGAACGGGCGACTGATCGTAACAAAAATTTAAGATCGCAACTTAGCCCTAAGATCGCTTTATGGAACGGGGCCCTGGAACGCTCAGACAATGTAATACACTTGCGCTTTCCGATCTCGGAGACATAGAAGGATTTGGTAGACCCGGTACCGATGGTAAGTTATACGCTTTACACTTACAAGATAATGTATACAAGCGGAAAGAAGTTACATTCAGGGGTAATCTAGAAGATTTAAGCGATGTCGACGTTGTTAGTAGACTCCTTAAAAAAACCACTTCGTACAACCTTACTCACAACGATGATAATAAATGGACTATGGTCGAAGCAAACATTGAGTGGCTATTTAATATCGTCATTACCCCACTGTATGTGATGATGGGTAAGGCACATAATTTAACTAAGATAATAAATAGTGGGATCGTACTCGCGGCTTATATCCCATCAAAACGAAAAAGTGTGTTAGTCTCTCCCCTGCCAGAAAACCCAGGTCATATGTTATATAGTCGTCCGGCAATCCAAAACGTTAGTTTAAATTTGGTTACAGAATTCAGTGATATTAAAGTTAACTTGAGTGCAATACCTAATATTTCTACTCTTATTATTGAAGTCTTGTTCGGAGATGCACCGGTAGATGCCTTCGAAATATTACCAGGTCTATCGATTAAATGGCAAAAGAAACACGAGCATCAACGTTGCAGTATTATTCATATCGGAGCATCACCCGTTGCAACCCTCGAGGGGGTCCAAATTATTAAAAGTGACAGCATTTCTCTTTCTAAGATATTCTTGCCGTATAATATACATTTGATAAGGTTGATGTATACTCTCAAAACATTTAAGCAAGACCAATTAAAGACTATTATATGACCGTAATATACACTATGGGTTTATATCCGGCGCTCGATGAAGCATTTGAAAAGATGGATACTGTTGATGGATTTCGATTACATCAAATAAGTGACATAAAACATCGAATAGAGAAGGATAGGGAGTTGAGACTTGGATTGTATAAAAAGTATCGCAGAGCCGTGAATGCTCTGGACGGAGTTGACACCGCGCTTGTAGCAGCTGGCATGGGACTCGGTGTAGCAGGTGTTGGTTTATTATCAACTATAATCGCCGCGCCTATCGTGCTCGGCATGGAAATAGTGGCTGGAGACTGGCAGGAATAACGATAAAATTCATTTCTCGTAGGTTGCAAAAGAAAGCATTAAAACACGATAAGATTCGGATACTCGCCGAAGCAAAGTTGAACACCATTGAGGATCATATTTCAACAGCAATGGCCGATTGTAAGATATCCGAGGAGGAGTTTCGTTTAGTGCTGTCGGAACTCACCAAATACAACATAATGAAGCATGAGATTCGATCAAAAGATCGTAAGACCAGTGGTATTAGCGAAGACGAGAAAAAAAAGTTCATAGAACAGGGGAGGCAACAAGCGCATCAATTATTCCGTGCCAAAACCAAAGAACTGGTTGGAGATTAAAAATAGATTGCTTACTATCTTACTTACTTTAGACAAATGCTTACATAAATATTTAATAATGGAGAATTACAACGCAATAATCGAAAAAGCTATTAAATGGATAGAATTACCACAAGGTTTTTATTATATCAGTGATGTCAAACCAACCAAATACGGTTATCAATTGTTTCTTATCAATTTCCAAGAAGAGTGTAGTTATATAGTCTAGTCTCCTAGTAAAATGAACGAAGAACTTAATAAAAATGTTGAATATCGCTTTATTGATAAAAATAATAAAGAATATTTTCATTACCATTTAGGCTCATCTGAACTAATGACAACATTGATTGGCCCCAGGTATTGGTGAGCTAGAGTCAATTTAGCTGAATCTCATGACTATCGTTGAATCGCATAGTCATTTTTACATAAAAAATTCCCTCTGTAGTAGCAGTATTGGTATATAAATCCAGCTCCAGTGGTGTTGCGACAGAACCCCCAATACCTATACTACTACAACTTCTATAAAAAGTTGAAATAAAACCTTGACAATACTAATAATGTCCCATACATATTCCATACCACATTCATACAGTGATAGGTTTAGAAAATCTTTAAATAATATTTTAGCTTAGTAAAGTTTATACTGGTAATACAGTATTTAACTAGATAACATACTGAATAGATGCAATACGATACAGTTAAGATTTAGATGAATTAAATTCCACATACAACCAACTGTACTGATAGTTGAAATACCTACTTTACTTTAACTATGAGCTAAGTTTATTTGTACACTGATGCATTAACCTCACACCTCTTAAGAAATACAATATGTACAAGACCATATACAGAACCGGTATATGAAATACACATACAAAATAACCTAACCTGGATAATGAAATCCTCAATACACGAAGATCGAATTCCATGAATGTACCCAATGTTTAACATCCACATTCAGCAAGGGGCTGATAATAAGGAAAATGATTAAATACCAATCAAAGTGACCTCCTGAAACATATGTGTTAGACTGCCTGACAGATATGCCTGACAGAAACCTTTAAAACTAAATACACAGTAGATAGATAGTAAGCTGACCAGAGAAACTAAAGTAAACAGACAAAAGAAACTTATGCAGAATGCAAGCCCATGGGTCAGAACCTGGCCTGACCTAGTAAGGTGGCTATTGTTATAATGCAGGGCGCAGGGCTTGTATAACTCTTAGTGTTTGTAGTGTTTGTAGTGTACTGTATGTAAAGTTTAAAGCAATAATGAAACATCTAAAAGATCTAACTTACATGTACAAATACTTAAAACTTGACTTGGCCACATTAGCAAAATTTATTTTCATTTGACAAAAATGAACACAAACACTTTCCTACAAAACATTTAGAAGTAACTAATAAAATTGTTTAAAAAACAAATGTAATAAATAACCTTTACAACTGTCCTGTATAAAAATCTGGACCCGGTTGTATCAAAGCCTCATTAACTAATGGCTACATTAAACCCTAATGATACATTAAATGCTTAATGCACCATTAGTTAATGGCATCATTAAAATCGGTTGTATCAAACGTTTATTAGCATATCATTATCTAATGATGCCTTAATGTAAGTGGCTTCATTAACCTGTCATTAAATTTGGTGTTTCCCCTAAATATTTCCCACAATTCCTTGACGTAAACACGTACGCATTACTTCCGGTCGTCTGTCAAAATGGCATCGTATCCACCTAAACCTAGGAATAGAAACAAGAATTTCAACAGGTCCGAAATTCAGCTTATTGCCGAGTTGGTGGAGAAACACATCTCCATACTTAACAGTAAGTTGTGTAGCACCGTCACCCACGAAAGAAAGAAGGCTATTTGGGCAGAGATAACTTCCAAAGTTAACGCTCTCGGTGTTTGTCAGCGTACAACAAAAGAAATAAAAACAAAATGGACGAACATGCACCAGACGGCCAAAAGGGAATTCAGTAACAGACAGCTGGACATGAGGAAGACCGGGGGAGGGCCCTGTATTGTCCCACTTTCCACGACGAGTGAAAATATAGTGGACATTTACAAGGAGTGTCCCAGTTTCACTGGACTCACGGGCATCGAATCGGACGATCTAGTGATGCAAATGGGTATGTCGCCTGCATTCAATAAAATATCGATACACAAACTGTTGTAAGTGTTAAAAAAGTACTTTACATGATACAACGAACTAGTAGCCTAATCAGCTGTTCATACACGTTGAACAAGGCTATGGGGAATCGGGTATTGCACATGATTTGATGATCATTAATCAAAAGGAAATGAAAAAAGAACATTTAACCAACCTTTTTGACAACACTTTCAATTAAATTGCCGCGTGTGATAAAATACACAGTGCATATTTACATTTGAAATGGTATTTCTCATCCGTTCTCCGACAGGCAGCCATTGTGGAAAGAGAAGGGGGGGCAACTCTCATTACCCCTATTCCAAACCAAGAAGTTCATGTTGTGTCTTTCGATGTTAAGTTCAAATCTTGACATTCTTCGTCTCTAAATGCAAATTTTATGTGAAGCATTTATACTTTTCATGAGAGAATTTTCTTATGACAACGAAAATTGGTTGAAAAAATATGTCACATTATAGCAGTCATTTTTCTGAAGGTGGCTGCAGACATAAAATAGGCCGTGTCATCACACAAATATATCATACAATTCTAATATATCATTTCCTTTGGTAATAAAACAAATGATAATAACCCTGGTGCCGTACCTCTCCCGTTTTAACAGTGTAAAAATATTAATTATATTATTAACTGATGTTCAATAAGTGTGCAAAAAACTTTATGTGTGTGCAGGAAGTCGCCGATGTAATTGGCTCTCCTTTGACTTTACACCTGTTAGCACGGGCTTTAGAAGAAAATGTTTGCGATGTCCCTACTCAGGAAGCGTCTGTGCCCAGTTGTTCCAGCACACAGATCTACCCAGAAGGAGAACTGTCTGTCGACGCATCTGCATTACATGACGACATTAGTACAATCGAAGAGTATGTCCTGTTAATTAATACTGGAATCTTACTTCTTGCAGCAATGCTAACAAACATGTAGTGCCAAGTCCTTTTCTCTACTCGCCCATCCCTTAGATTGAAACACTCATACTAATTTTGGCCTTTAACACACGCGTATATAGCGTAACATTCACTGTATATACACACGGAGACTCGCATGATCCAAAAACAATGTATTATTTCAGGCCTTTGGTCCAGACTGGGGGAAAATCAAATCGTGTCACCAAGAGAAAGATCAAACAGGATGACATCACCAGACTGCAGTATGAGGTTTTGCTTGAGCAGAAAAAGAAAGTCATTCAGCAAACCATGTACTCTGAGCTCATGAACAAGAAGCTCCAATTGGAGTTGGATAGCTTGATGCACCATGAATGAAAACGACATCCTCATGTTTGAAATGTTACTAAAAGTTCATTAAAATACAATTAGTTTGATAGTGTGCTACACAGTGTTGTGTTGTATATTGTATAGCTTCAGTTGAACGAACGGGAGATAACTAACAATGTCAATTCTAATAAATTGTTATCCATCTTCTACTTTATACTACATACAAGTAACCAAACACATATCACTTCGGTAGATTGCTGGGTGCTCTTTACGTATGTAGCTGTCAATAACGATGAGTTGATGAGATAAGCCGATCAGTTAATACATGATTTCGACGAAATTTATGTAAACCATATTCAATAAAATTAATGTGATAGACTCATTGCTAAAGATACACAAAGAACCTTACATGCTCACCGTGAAGTCTTGGCGTTGTGCAACAAATTCAAACTCATTGTATCCGTGTAGTGTTTAGCTGTATTTTTTCTGAAGGGAAATGTGCACTGTGTACACTGGACAATATTTACACAGTAATCTAAATTTTAGTTAAACAAAGCTGGGAAACTATATCCCTTTGATTCAACACGAAAAGACAAAAGTGCACGCAAAAGATTTTGGTTAAATATTTGTAAAAATTATATTTGCACGCATTGGCAAATACATACTGCGAACACTGTCAACTATTTTCTTCAGTGACAACAGATGGTATCTCTGCATTCTTCTGTATAGTTATATTAAAGCAGAGACAGTTTGATCATTTCAGTTAGTGAAATAGTGCCTTGTGATATAATCACGGATGCCCCGTCCATCTTCGGGACCTGTATATTGCCCTTCAATGTTACTGTCGTCCTCTCCATCAACATCAAGCATGGGTTCACGAAGAATATTAATTATCGCCAGATTATGCAACACAGCACAAGCACCTGTGAAATATAGTATGATTGTTTAAAGGGTCTACAGTATTGTTATCATTCGATTCTTATGTTATATGAATGAGTGTTTCCCACTGGTGTTAGCACTTATATATCGGTTATCTTCAAATTTATTTCATCGTTACAGTGTATATTATTATCTTAGTAAACTAACCAATGATGGTGCAAACTCTCTCTGGGCTCATCCTGATTTCACTGTGCAGAACATGGAAACGCCGTTTGAGCCACCCAAATGCTCTTTCTATGGTTGACCTTGTTCTTTTATGGGAAGAGTTGAATCGCTCTTGCTCGGGGCTAGATGGCTTTAGATACGGAGTCATCAAATACGGACGACATGCATATCCACTGTCACCGAGAATAACGCCGTCTTGTAGAGTCGTATGGTGTGTTTCCAGGTGTTGCCGCACGTTACTCATCTTGAACACGTGGCTGTCATGCGTACTGCCTGGCCATCTCGCCACTAAGTTAGTAAATTTACCTACAGAATGAGACAAATGTGGTCAATGTTAATATAAGTCAATATTACCATCGAACTTGGTTCATAATGCAGCCACTGCAATATAGCTGAAACATTGCTGATCGCGGCGTTAAACAACAAATGCTGAAAGATTTGTCTGATAGCTATTTCGTTTAACAGCGTGAATGGTGTCAGGGTCGTAAACATATTGTCCTTGTGACTTTGAAGGGAGGACGTGTATGCTCCATGCACAGGTTTAACAGTGACATTTGATTTGTTATTATAAAAAATTATTTAACACACCTTGGCTGTCACACACTGCTTGAACGTTGATCGAATGGTAGCCTTTCCTATTGACAAAGGCAGGTTCGCTGTCTGATGGTGCCTGTATCCGTACATGTGTCCCATTGATACATCCGATTGACTCCAGGAAATCGAGATATATTGTAGAATTCCTTTCTAATGTCGCCTATATCCCTCTCGGACGGCCAGGTAATAAACTTGGGCACAAGAGACGCAATGGCAAGGGAAACTTTCCTCACAACTCATGAGGCTGTTGATTTGTCTATCCCTATTGTGTCGCCAGTGATTTGCAGGAAACTTCCACTTGCAAAAAAACGTAGGGCTACCAGAACCTGATAAAATGATTATAAAGAGGCTAATGATAGGTTTGACAAATTTTCAAATATTTCCATAATACTTATATCCACTTTGTTATTTATTTGGCTGCGTTTTCATTATGTCTCACTTAGTAAAGTGTTAATTATTGATATAAGATGTGCATGCTTTAATTAATTAAAAGGTTCTTTTGGCCGGAATCGAACACGCAAAACTGTTCTCTTCAGTGTGCACGACACATTTAGTTTAAGTCATTAGAGTAACCCCCCCTTAAGAAATTGATCATGGCTGACAACGCCAAGTTGAAAACGTATCTTTCTGGAGTGAAGTGAAAGGGATCCATGAATTTACATTACTTTCAATTGTGAAATATATTTACAAGGTTGGTATCATTAGGCTGCACATAAGACTTTACCAACACAGACCAGTGAGCTGACCCACGTAGAAGTGCGTTTCATTCATTGTAAAGATTGCCGCTATAAATTTGGCGCTATAATAATATGTTTATTTCAAACTAGCTGAGTTTCTAGTGACGACATTTACCTGTAGTTCAACACTAAGTGCGTGCGATCTTGCAGATTTGGGCTGTAATTCATCTCTCACAAGATCGCAGATATATCTGATGCTTGCCTTCCCAAAACGGTAGCGTGCCCTTACTTCTTCATCGCTCATGGATTCGAGGTGTTGAGTTCGTTTTCTGAAAACACGGTCTTTCCTTGTGCGTCCTAAACGTTCAAACAATATGTTCGCGGCCATGTTTGTTTTTAATGACACGCTAATGATGCCCAAGAACCTTCATTAAGTTGATGACGCGCTAATGACACCACGACGTCATTAAAACGTTAGTACAACTGGATTTAATGATGCATTAGTTAATTAAGGTTTAATGACACGTTAATGCATCATTAAAGTTTGATACAACCGGGTCCTGATCTTTAATTAACATTTCATTGTCTCTTTGTTTTTACCCACCCAACCACCCACAACATTAACTCGAGTCCCTGTACTCTATACTCTAATCTACATTTCCCCTGCTTTACAGCCTTTATTTTGTCATTTAGTCTTTTGGGGGCACAGGTAGCTCAGTCGTCTTTGGCGCCACGATTCGCTGTGCAGAGTTGTCTTCCTTGGACACGCCAGGAACCTATGATTGTGGGTTCGAATCCCGATTCACCCCAATTATGTTTCTAGGTTTGTCAGCACCATACCCGTGCTTGTGGCTTTCACCCAAGTAGTAAGCGTCTGTGACCTGCATCACTTCGGGCTGTACATTTAGCTGACACGCCATGATATAACTGGAATAATGTTAAAAGCAGCGTTAAACCTAACTCAATCACTCACTCATTTAATCTCTTTCAAGTGTCGGTCCATGTTTCCTCCTACTTCATGGGCGACACTGGACTTCCTGAAGATATGAGCTGCAAAACAAAATTATATATAATTTTATTCATGAAACAAGGCACAATAAAGGTTATAAAAAAGGTATTCATTGTTATCAAATTGAATATGATTGCTGTGTCATCAAAATTACAAACAGGAAAAGTGTTCCCAAAATAACATCAGTTGTTTTAGAACATTCGATCTCGATGCATGTATGAAGACGAAATGACAAGAACTGCATGAATACAATACATTCTAGCCCATGAAAAGGTGCAACTACATATATATTTTGTTTTTGATATTACATAATATCAATAACATTTGTCTACATACTTAGAGGACATCATCATCATCACCAAGAGCATCAACATGTCTGTTTTGTTCAACATGCCAACATGTGTAGGCAGCTTGGAGCATGTGAAATGCTGTTGACTCCACCTGCTTCTTTTCCTGGAGAGACTGACACAGCTTGAGCATTGTTGTAAGATCGTAAGGTCAGACTTGCTGACTTGGTTGATGCATGTCATCGTTTCCCAATAGCTTGAATCATCTCAATTTTAATTCTTGAAGATGGTTGTATATATTATTGCATCATGCGTACTTTTCTGTAAGTGATGTACTTTAAATTGTGGTCAACTGGGGATTATTGTGGGTAAATTGTTATATTTAGGAACATAGTGGGTGGGTTAGTTTAAGGGGAGTTGAACGGCTGACGTAGTACCTATCTTTGTAGTCCTTTTTGTAGCAGCTTATGCCCACGCGGGCCTAGTGTTTGGGAAGACGTGACTGTACCACACTTCTTGCATGCTGGTTAGGTGGAAGACATGATTGGGAGAGCCGAGATGTAAAGAACGTGTTCATTGGTTGTGTCCATTTTCCTGGTCACATGGTCCGTGTGTTGGCTTTATAAGCCTATCCTGGGAAGGGAATTGTCAGTCGTCGCTCACCAGTATCTGGTAAGATACAGTCGGCTCCCGCGCCCTGAATCAGGACCATTTATTATTTATTATAGGGCTTTTGTTGGGATATTAGATTAGGAAGTATGGGTGGGGGAAAAATAGAGTAGAGATTGAATAGGTTTGTTTTATAGACATTTTATTTTCGTGAGTTAAGATAGCGGGGTGGTAAAGAAGAACAAGTTTAAGTAAGAAGGTTGAATTGGTTTACGTAGGTAGGGAAGGGGGAATATTAGGTAGGTTATAGTTAAGTTGAGAAGGATTTGTCCCCTTTTTTTTATCTTTTTTTTTATGTTAAATAAACTTTGAATGCGACTTCGCTCTTTGTGCTTTATCTATGATTAGAATTGGTAACCTTGTCAGGAGCCTCCTAGAACATAAAGACAAAAGAATACTGGGGAGATGAGAACACAACGCAAAGCACCGCAGTAAAAATCAGACCTTTTGTCAACCATTTTTATAGTTCTACTGTCACTTGGCGCCTTTAACAGGCTTTAGAAGGCGCCAATTACAAAACAAATATACCGTACACCACAGGACAACGATTGGTGCTGTGACACATATTATGTTTTTGGGTTCAATTACACTGCTGTTATTCATCACGACAAACGCGTTTCGTCCTCGTCCAGAGAATAGCTGAGAACTATAAAATTTGTGTTGATACATTGTGGACATTCCACGGTATCATTTTATGAAGATGTGAAGAAGACATGACAGGTAGGTTTTGAAACTAAAGACCTACGTGTTTGTTGAAATATCTTGGAATCATTTGAT